TCATCTAGTTCCCTGACAATTACTTGAGGGAATAACATTACAAAGATGTTGGTCATTTTCCTGATTTATAAAGAGGAGAAATCAGTGAATGAAACAAATAGTTGAGAATACAATGCTTCGTAGTGGTAAGGACCAAGGCGCTATCATCAGATTGCTTGAGTTTATAGTCCTTCCTGGCCATATCATAAGTCTATGACCTCTGGCAAAACTCTTGTTTCTAAACCTCTGTTTCCTCTTCTGTAAAAGAGAACTAAATTACAGCTAGTCTCAGAGAGTTTCTTTGAGAATTAAATGAGGCAATCCAAGCAAAGTGTTTAACATAGATCCTGACATTTAGCAACTGCCTTATAAATCTTATTTGTTATCATTGCCATTATATTCAGTTCAGAAAATGGAAATTCTTACCCTATAACCTCCATACAAACCTATTTCTATTATATGAAATTCTGTACTTAGAAATGTAATCTTCAATTCATAATATAAATATGACTATGGGGAGTACTATAAATGTCATTATAAGTTTCTAAGATATTATGTAACTTTTTTATCTAGATCTTTTACAGCACTGATGGTTAAGTTTTCTCAGATATGTTGTAAAGACTGAGGAAAGATGTGGAAGGTAAAGAAACAAATTCGAAGTAACAAATTTCCTAATGGGTGATTGTTGTTATTGTTAAGTGCTGTAAAGTTGGTTATGACCCATAGCAAACCTGCATAGGGTTTCCAAGGAGCGGCTGGTGAGCTTGAACCGCCAACCTTACTGTTCAAACTGACTTTGCAGTCCAGCACATTAACCCACAGCTCCACATCAGGACTCCAATGGGTGATCTGTTGTTGTCAGGTGCCATCGAGTCGGAACCGACTCATAGCAACCCCATGCACAGCAGAATGAAACAATGTCCGATCCTGGGCCAACGTCACCACCACTGCCACACTTGATGCCATCAATGATGCCACCTGGCCAATCCATCTCGTTGGGGGTCTTCCTCTTTTTCTGTGACCCTCCACCTTACCCAGCATGACATCCTTCTCCAGCGACTGTTCCCTCCGGACAATATGTCCCAAGTATGAGAGACGAAGCTTAGCCATCTTGGCCTCCAAGGAGCACTCTGGCTGCACTTCTTCCAAAACAGATCTATTGGTTCTTTTGGTAGTCCATGGCACTTTCAGTATTCTCCTCCAACACCACAACTCAAAGGCATAAATTCTTCTACGGTCTTCCTTATTCACTGTCCAGCTTTCACATCCATATGAGGTTATTGAAAATACCATGGCTTGGGTCAGGCGCACCTTAGTCCTCAAGCTGACATCTCTGCTCTTCAACACTTTAAAAAGTTCCTGTACAGCAGATTTGCCCAATGCAATATGTCGTCTAATCTCTTGACTACTGCTTCAGCGAGTGTTGACAGTTGATCAAGAAGAATGGGTGATTAGAAACCAGGAAAGCAAGGAAAACAATCCTAACACATTTTTCTAACTAGGTACCATGAGAAGAATATGGATTCTTCCTTGGACCTTGTTCTTATAAAGCCCAGTAAATTCTGGTCCTCTGATTCTCATGTTCAACTGTAGGGGATTGTCTAAAATAATCTATAGGGGTGTTTATGACTCTCAATACATAAAATTCTCTGAAGTCCTAGATCATTGTGTTCCTAGAAAACTGGCTAAGATTCTCCCTTCCCCCTTTTTTCCTGTAATAGTTCACAGAGAAAAAGACAGGGAAACATTGAGTTAAAAGACAATGGAATTCTTCCACATACTTTTTGAAGTCCCCTAGAACAGGAAATGAAAGAGACTGCTGTTAAATTACTGGGGAGAACTGAAGGCAAGTATCCCCAAGTAATATATGCCTAAATGATGAAAGAAAGGACGTCCTAAAACAAGCTCAGAAGAGAACATGAAGGCTGTGTTTACTGTGGAGACAGGAGATGAATGTCCCAAAGAACAATGTTTGTTAGAAATTAAGGCAGATAATCACATCATAAAGTGCAAATGGTATAGATTATAAATGTAAAAGATAGTCTGGAAGAATAAATCACATGTGGTTTTATATGTAGTTGAATTACAGCAGTTCCCAGATTACAAATGCTGATTTAGGGCTAACAACTTGTTGTTTTTGTTAATTGCCACCCAGTAGATTCTGACTCATAATAATCCTGTACAGGGCAATACCTTAATGTTATGTAAGTTTGCCCTCACTTTGAAAAGATTTAGCCAGCCCCTATGGTTGTTATTAAGTGCCATCTAGTTGGTTCTGACTCATAGTGACACTGTATAGGGTTTCTATGGCTATAAATCTTGACGAGCGTGAAAAACCTCATTCTTATCCCAGAAAAGGAACAGCAAGTGAACTTGAACTTGAGGTTAGCAGTCCAGTGCTACTTGCAACAAATTTTTCATCATGATCTCTTTCATTTGTTGCATGTGCAACTTTAAAATCATTAAAATGCTTTGAGCCTTTTATCACACTAAAGTAAGGCTAAATAAAAACTGTACTCACCTGTTCTGACTCACCTACAAATTGCATTTATAGACTTAAAAACAGAGTTAATAAAGGATCTCATTTGTAACTCAGGAACTGCTATATATCAATGACAAATAGATTTATCAACAAAATATTATTTTTTTAGAACTTAAGAGGACTTTGTTATTTTGTATCTAATATTAAGGATGACAGAAAACTTAAAATGCATACATACATGGAATATAGAAAAGGTGTTCCATATCTATATAAATTACAAGAAAGTGTGGGAGACTGTGAAACCTCTATTTGCACAATTAGGAGAGCAACAAACCCGGCCCTGGACAAAGTAGAATACTTAAATACAATATATTCATTGTTTAATCTCTAGCAGGTATGATATGATACTAAGTACTCTGAAAGAAATAGCTTTTTAATCTTCATAACAACCAATGAACACACAGTTATTATTTTTATTTTACAGATCAGGAAATAGAACTAATTTATGAATTTCCCAAGGTTTCATTAAATGGAAGTCTCAAGTCCTGATGTAAAAGCCTCTACTCTTAAACCCAAGAAGCCTTAGTAGCATAATGGATTACAAATTGGGCTGCTAACCACAAGGTC